TTAGTCTTCACAAGAGCAGCTAAAGGAATCAGGTAAGGGATATAATTTAAAATGGTATATGTAGGAAAGGATGAATTCTAATTTCAATTTTCAGATAACGCACTAGACTATATAGAGGACACATAGAATTATAGCAATATAAAAGGTAGAAATAAGAATCAATTAAGTTATGCATTAAGGAGAAAAACTAAGGAATTGGAAAAACAAAAATCTTGCCAGCTCTTCCTTATATGGAAAACTATTCTGAGGATCCAAGCATGAAATGAGCAAGTGAGATGAACAATATTGATAAAAACAATTGCGAATACCAACCGACATGAAAACATTCTAAGCGTCTCTGGCCTTGAGAGAAGTGCAGAGGAAAATAGCATGAAGCTTTCTTGCCCTCACACAATGGCACATACAAGAAGAGAGATACAACCGGAGAAGCTGAACAGCTAACTTGAAGACAATATGCAGTATAACAACTATTGCTGGATTTATGTTCTTTTGTTCAGTGAGTTTCTATATTGTTGGTAATGTTGTTTCTACCCCTTTTGGGGGGATTTTCTTTAAAGAAAAATAACACCTGACAATGTGTCTGATGAACAAGGCACCCTGCTAAGTTGTGGCTGGAATGGAAACTTCTAGAGCCAATCCTGAGCGCACTGTAGATAGTTCTCAGAAAATACTTACAGAAATTCCAGATGCGGCAGTTTTCCCATTCTTAGTATTTTTCCAAACTTTTCCCCTACATAATATCTTAGCCATAAATTCATCCCAATGTTTATAGCAGCACAATTGATAATAAATAAATCCATGAATCATCCTGTATTTCCATCAGCAATTCCAAGTATCTGGAAAATGTGGTGTTGGTAAAGAATGTGATACTTCTTCTCTTTAAAGACTGATAAACATGAAAGAAAATAGAAGCACCTGAGAAATATAGTGTTGGTGGAATTGAATCAGAAAGCAAACTTAAACGCTGTATGCTATCCCTCATTTGAGTAAGGGAAACTAAGAAAAAATAGAAAAATTAAAATACAGAGAAGGAAATAAATGACATAGATGTCTCACAAATGTGAAGCAGGCCAGGAAACTGAGAGGAAGATAAAATGGAGGTAAATATTCACAATATATAATATACGGCTCTAAACTCCCACAAGAGTATACATCAAAAATAGGTTTGAACCATCCAATTTTGTCACTACTGTGAGAAGCTGAAAAATAAACAAATTCTGAAAAGTACAATATAAACTCTGAAAGGGAAAGAATTGATTCAATGGGAAGGAAACATGGGTTGTGGAAAACGAGAATTGAAGGGAAATATATATATTTTTGTGTGTGTGAATGTGTGTGTTCGGGTAGGCTGGATAATTTGGAAAATTGTAGTGCCAATTTCTGCTGATATTTTGAAATGAGTAGCCAATGCTTCATTCTTTATGCTTATTAATTTTTATTGCTTTTCAGTTGGTTTTTTAAAAACAATTTTACATCCTTATGTTGGTTAACTGAAACACTTAATTTGAAGATAACATCATGCAATCAAGCAACACTTGTAGAATTCCTATTATTTCATGTAGTGAAATTTTGTATCACTTCTAGTGCTGCTTTTGTCTTACTAGCTTGTATTCTATAAAAAATAATGAAAATAAGTTTGAGAAATGTTAAGATGAACTATAAACAAAAAAATGGGGAAAGGGATTTAAAGATGGGTGAGTGACATGGAAAGAAAAGGGATATTTAAAAAACTATTTCATACATTTATCCCCCACTAAGATTAAAACAATCTTCCTGTGCTACAAACATA